TATAATGAGAAATCTGGAGCGGGGGGTACATTTATTTTGTTTGTGGCTGAGCTAAACATTTAAATTGGTTTCTGTTTCTCACTCCTTCTAGTGCTCCAGCGTTACGCTACGCTGGTAATAATCCCACGTACATTGTTTGAAAAAGAGGCTGAGAATAATCCAGTCTGTTTAGAATTTAAGACCTCTTTTATGTTAACTGTGTGAGCAGTTGTGTGCCTCTTTTCAGTAGTTACTGATTTAGGACTGAAAGCCCTACTAATCATTCATTGTTGGATTAAATGCTGTCTAAAACTCAGATAAAAATCCTAGGAAAACCATCTAGCAGAAAACTTGAGGAGAAGGAGGGGGCAACAGCTAAGAAGTTGCTCTAAAAGCAGTCGCTGATTCTGTCATCATAAAAATTATGTCAGACCAGCCTTCTGGAAATGCTGAACAGGGGCCTAATTGTGATGACAAGTTTTCCCCGTGTTTTTCCTTGATGCAGTAAGTTAACATAAAATACTGGTCGGCTTCCTACATTCAGAGTTTTCGGATAATACGTGAAAGTAACCTGTCAGCAGTACTGAAAGCTGTGTGGGACTATTTTCACCTTTAAGTAACAGATGTCTGTGCCTTACGTGATTCCTTCAATGCAATTTAAGTGTTTACTAATGCCTTTTGTGAGCCTGTTGCTTATAAAATTATTACATCAGAACAGCAGCAAGCACTTTTTTTACACAGTGTTATTCAAAAAGAGTTTTATTTTTGTCATGTATAAATTTGTACACAGAATTATTGTTTTATTTGACACAATATATAATTTTTAATACAAACATTTGCATTTGATGTTTTAATCTGTGGTGTCTAGCACGATGGGTAGAAGGCCGTTCAGCCTGAGGGTGCTGAAGAAAGAAAGCTCGTGGTGTGTTTGTGAATTATTTTGGAAAATGCTTATCTTGCTTGAAAAAAAAGGAGTTGGTATGTTACGTGTAAGTGGGGGCAAAACTTAACTCTGTGATGCAAGTCTGGTGCTAAATCATTTAAATATGATCTGGACATTTTGCGACTGTATTACGTTACCTTTGTATGCTCTGCGTAAGGCGTGTTGACTTTCCGCGTTGTAGTTATGAGTGGGGCAATAGCAGCTGCATGAGGTGAGCGTCTAAATCTTTGCCCAGATACTGGAGTATTGGGGCACTGGCCGGAGTAATCCCTCTGCGTTTGCCACTGCCTGAGGTTCTCTGCGCATGGGTGGTTTGCATTTTATTATTTCCTACTAGTAGAAAGCGGCTGGGTTTAGACTCCTCTGGGGCTTTGGTACAGTTGTTTTTTCTTTCCTTAAGGTGTTTATACTGTAGCCAAATTTGCCATACATCTCTCGCTTTATGACTAACGAAAGGCTACTGTCGTCACTTGTGTTGGGTTAGAGAGGATCTCGTCTAGCGGTAGAGGCGCAGAATGTTTCAGCTTCTCCTGCACACAGCATGAATGTCTCCTCGTGCGTTCACTAGGCGTTTGGAGGCAACTTCCCCAACTACCATCTCTTGTAACCATGTCTTGTAAGATTCGTCTCATTGTTTGCGGCAGTAACTCGGGTGTGCGTGTTTCTAGTCTGGAGGGACATGCTTAAATTTTAGTGGTTGTGTCAATAAGGTCCCCGATCGGGTTTACAACTATATCTGCTTTGCTGTCCAAACAGATGAGTCGGCAGATAAATCTTCCCCTGGTTGATAGCCTGATACATGTTACCCGCTTCTGCTTTTGTGAGAAAGCCTCTTGGACTATAATTTTGGACTAAATGCAAGATTCCTAGAAGGTTAACTCTCTTACATGTTTTTGTTCGACACGACGTCCAGTTGACAGCTGTAAATCACATAAGTAGCATGCAGATGTCGTGGTTCTTCCATTATTATCCTTCACTTAACAGAAAGGATATCTTTGTCCGTCACCACTTAGCTAATGATTAGGAGTGAGTTTAAAGCACACTTCAGAAACTTCTTCCTATCCAAGAAAATTTGAAAGACTAGAAATTAATGAAAACTTGCTAGACCTGCAAGATGTTTTTAGCAACATAAATGACTTCAGGATATTTTCTAAATAGCAGTAAGTAATATAATAGTGATAGCTTTGGTAGTGTTACTTTCTTCTTGTGTGCGTTTTCATCCTGTGTGCAGTTTCATCCAGTCATTTATTTAATAGTATAGCTCCTTTCTAAGCCTACTAGGAAATACTTCATGTCTGTCTAGCTTTTAATACCTCGAAAGCCGTGACACATCACGGCTTGCTCCATTTTGCAGGCTACTTAAGAATATATTGAGCAACGTTGACTCTATCGTGTTCTCTTAGAGCTTCCCAGTAACTCGTCTGCTGTGCACAGTGTCACCTTGCTCATGCTCCTTTTGGTTTTTATCCTCTTGCAGAGTTGACGACATTCCTTCTTACTCCGAGACAACTTTGCTTGAGAGTCACAGGTAAGATACAAAATACCCAAATACAGTTCACCAGCTATTTCACCACCTACCTACTAAATCCTTCGATATATCCTGAGTAAAGGTCTGAAACACAACTACCTTTTTCTAATGCTATTGTCATTGTCTAACGTCATTGATTGTGCTGTTGCTTCTGTTATTTACTGCGGATTGGGCCGGTTTATCCAAAGTCAGTGTGTTAAAGCGTATTCAGTGATAGGCAGGTAGCAGTTTTTCAGTAATTTTGCTACGTCTCTGTTGTGTTCTCCATAAGTACAGGAAACATAATTCAGACCAAAAGAAAAGGCTATTCTTGTATCTTTTTTGGCTACGTGGCTTTCAAATGTAGACCGAAACAAATTACTTTGCAGACATTCATACTAAAAATTCCTAAGTACGTAGGAACTCTGGTAAGATCCAGAGATGAATTAGGGGAAAAACTCTAATTACCTTGTTAGAAGCGGATAACCAAGAGCTTCGTTTTTAGGCTTCTCCCTAGAAATTTAGAAGCTGTTTCAGCTGTTCCAGTGGTGACCCTTTTCTTAAAGGGCACGAACAAATCTGTGGAATGAAAACAATCCTACCACTGCATTCTTACAATTCTTTCTCCAGTGTGATTGTCAAGCGCCATTTATCTGTCATCTAAATAGTTACAGCAGTGTTTTCCTTACATAAAAGCTTACCGTAATGGAGACTCTAAATAAAAACTACCTTACGGATCAAAGAAGTCGGTGCCATTGCATACTGGTTGCTTGGGTCCCTGAGAGTTCACGTAGGTGTCAAATGTATGGGAAGAGAGAGCTTTTCAGTATTTTATCTCCCCGAGGCCAGACTCAAGGGTGTTGAAGGTTGTAATTACCAAGATCTGCTCACAAACAGTGTATCCATCACCAGGAACGAAGAAATCTCGGCTAAGAAGGATCTAACACTGTCGTAGTCAGCGTGTGTGTATAGTTGAGCAAATTTTGCTGTTTACTGTCTGCTTCGAGTGTACTAAGAAAATCTTTCATGTATTCCGTGGTGCTGATACAGATTTACTTTGCGCGATTTCATTACCGGAATGCAAAACTATAATGCCCCCTTGCTGTTAATAAAGGTCAGTCTTTTGCTGACATAACAAGACATTGTTTACAAAAGTGCAAAACTGGTAAAATTTAAGATACCTGGAGGTTAATTACGTGTAACTGAGAACTTAAAAAAAAAAACCTGCCAAAATTCCTGCTGAATTAAAGCAGCAACGCTTGTGTCACAAGACTGGAGGAGTGAAACAAGCTACTACATAGAAACCCGATGATTAAGTCAAGAATCTGGGTCATGGGCAGCTTGCTGATGTGCTGCCTGTTTTACACCTGTATAAATCTGGTTGCAAGTAAACTTGCAAGACGGGAGATGAATGCTCCTGAGCTGTCCTTTGTTCTCCAGTGCAGGCCGGCTATCTTCCGGTTTGCGCTTTGCCACAGCAAATGAGCAGAACTGGGACGTTTCCCTTGGCATAGGCTGAGGTCACTTCTTCCAGTGAGTCTGTGCATTAAATTGACGGAAGATGCACAAAAAGCATCTGACTTGAATTTGCGCCCTAACAGCTAAACCACCAGAGGGCCTGCAGTGGAAGAGCTAGTCGTCACTAACTGGGATGGAAGGGTTAATTCTGACAAATGCTTTCTTTACGAATAATCGGCTTTAAATCCTGCATGAAATTCGAATGCTATACGAAGAAATAAACCCTAAAAATACAGAAAAAACTCCTCTGAAAATATTACCAAAACTCACTATTGAAAAACATTACCTTAGGATGACTAGGAAAGGATGAAAAGGAAAAAATAGAAAGCTTATTACATGGCCTAAAGATAAGCGTGTGCATAAACATGGTCTCGCTAATATGCATGAACCAGTAAAACCAATATTGCTGTGAGATCTCAAGGAACATTTGGATGAATTTGGTTTAATCTTTCTATCTTTTGGGGGTTTGGTTTTTTGTTTGTTTTTTTTCCCCCTGTTCTGTATGACAATAGAGCGCAGCACTTTGAAGACAGGATAAGAAAAGGTGGAATAGTTCTCCTCTAGAGCCATCGTGTGACCACGATGTTGGAGTTATTTGGAAATACAGATACTCTGCAGAGAATATTGGTAATAACAATTTTAAAAAAAATATAGATTGGTGATGGCCAAGACACTGATTCAATCTGACAGCATCCAGTATGATCGGATGATACCCTGTGCAGGCTTGCTATTGGATTTTTTGTCTGGGCTGTGCAGCTCTTGCGCAAGGG